CAAGGAAACCTCAGACGGAAGGCAGGGGAGGGTTGAGAGGGAGACATCAACCAATGAACTCATATGGGTATATGCATTGGACACAGGCAATAGAGTGGTGAAGGCCTGGGTAGGGGTGGGAAACAGGTGGAGGGGTGGGGAGAAGAGGGACATCTGTAATAATCTCAACAATAAAGATTTAAAAAATAAAATAAAATTTACAAAAAGAACCAAGAAATGTTTTTAAAAATTAAGTCATTTTTGATAGAATTTAAATGTATTTGACATGTTCACTGACCACGTAAAAGGAGCAAGAATCGTTACTTATTTTCCTTGCAGCTGGTGATCACCTTACCTGCAATGCACCATCCAGGCAATGCCTCATTGAATAGCCCCAATGATGCTTCTCTGGTTCCTCAAGTCTCTGTATGTGTGGCCCTGGCTGTTATCTGTCACCTGCTGCTACTATCAGCAGGTCTGTGTGTCACCTTTGCACCCACACCTGTTCTCGCTTGGGCTGCGTGAGAAATCATACAGAAAGCTTATGGGAACGAGTGGCATCACCTTACACATCTCAGCCCCAAAGGTCCTGATGAGGGCCTAACAGTCTCCCTGCTGTAATGTACCCCTTGAATCACACAAGGATGCCCCAAGAAGTCGAATTAAGGAGTCACATTTATTGCAAATCCGGGACTACGAGGGGGCATTTCGCTCTCTCAGATCTCAGTAATTACCTAGCCCCAACACCAGATTTATATAGGCAAAAATCACAAAGGTAATGATTACATCTCAGGGTTTGGAATGAGGAACCTGGTTTGCAAAAAAGCAGTTTACAGAGGCAGAATTGAGCAAGTTAGTGAAATTATAGTTTTGGGTCTCCAGACCACTGAGTCGACAGAAACACATTATCTAGAGCCCTTGGGTCAACGGAAACACATGATCTGGAGCCATCGGGGCAATTTGGAGCAATTGTGCTGTCCTGGTTTGGGACCACTGAGTCAACCGGAACGTATTATGTGGCCACTGAGGCAGTTTAGGATAACTGTACTGTCCCGGGTTCCCAGGTACAGAGGAATGTGCTTCGATAACCAGTCAGATCACAACCAATGGGATATTTAAACCACCAAACACGGAGCACTCACCCAATTGGGATAGGATACATGAGTTGAGAAAATCAAAGTAACTTTTCTATTGTGAAACAAAGCAGTAAGTACAGAAGCCAAACAGCAGGGTTAAAGTTAAATTACAGCTTCTACCTGACATGATTGCTACCAGACTTCATCCCCATACCTCAAATGGGAAGAAAGCGCCTGGGTGTGGAGACAGGCTTTTCCTTGTTAACTTCTTTTTCCTTCTGTCCTTGGTAATTTTTTGGCAAAATGTGAGAGTCATCTTGAGATGTGACTGTGTATTATTATATTTTTCTAAACATACTAGAGGCCCAGTGCACAGAATTCATGCACTCTGGGCGGTGGGGGGGCGTGTCCCTTGGCCTGGCCTGCACCCTCTTGCTGTCTGGGAGCCCTTGGGGGATGTCCGACTGCCCGCCCCCCATAGGACATCCTTAGTGCTGCTGCAGAGGTGGGAGAGGCTCCTGCCACTACCACTGCGCTCACCAGCCGTGAGCCTGGCTTCTGGCTGAGCTGTCCTCCCCGTGTGGGAGCGCAATGACCACCAGGGGGCAGCTTCTGCATTGAGCGTCTGCCCCCTGGTGGTCAGTGCACGTCATAGCAACTGGTCGTTCCACAGTTCAGTCGATTTGCATATTAGCCTTTTATTTTATAGGATTCCTCTGTTGCTCTTATTTCTAAATAACTTTCCTTTTTCATCTTGGAAAGTTAATTTCTAATTGTTAGATGATCTTTTCCTAAATTGTCAAAAATCCCCGTGTGACGATGCAGGCGGGATGAAACCAACTCCTGGAAAGGACTTTGTAGCCATTACCCTTCTGGGTCAAGACTTCTGCCTGACGGGATCTCACCTCCTGGGTGCAGTAGGCGGAGTCAGAAGAGTATCATGAAGGACAGGAAACAGCTGCATCAAATAGCACAGAGAAAATGCAACTGCTCCAGCCAACCAACCACACATCAACAGAGCCTTCCTTGATTTTATTCCCCTGAGACTGACTCACCCTCATGAAAATCCCATGGAAATCATTTTACTAAAAAATAACCGACACTCTGCCACTAGGGCTCAATGGTTGAGCGTTGCCCTATGAGCCAGGAGGTCAGGGTTCGATTCCCGGTCAGGGCACATGCCCTGGTTGTGGGCTTGATCCCCACTGTGGGGTGTGCAGGAGGCAGCCGATCCATGATTCTCTCTCATCATTGACGTTTCTCTCTCTTCCTCTCTCTAAAATCAATAAAAATATATTTTTAAAAAAGAGAGAAACAGAAAAGATGTAAGATCATAGAGGCCGTAAAATAAAAAAAGTGGTTAACAGGACACGTTTTCCCCACGGGTCCTATAAAAGAGTCCATGCAACGAAATGTCTGACAGCCACAGGCCTAGAGCAGAGACCACTGTCCCTCGCAGTCCCTAACCCTGTCCTGACCCAGCCCCTGTCCCTGTCCCTGACCCAGTCCAGGTCGAGGGCAAGATACCAAAATGCTTGTCGGAGCCCAGCTGCCCGGCTGGGTGCAGGGCGGCCGTCAGCCATTCCCCAGCCGCCCTGTCTCGGTCGGGCTTTGCGTGCGGACCGGCTCAAGGGCGGTGAGAGCTTCTGTTCCAAGTGGGCGCAGACTCCTGGCCGGTCTGCACCTTCCTCGCTGCCTTTCACACGGGAACCCCATCGGCATCTCGGAAGGAAACAGAGACCCTGGTTCATAAGCAGAAAAAGTTGTTTTTTAAAAATGTTTTTTACTGATTTCAGAGAAGAAGGGAGAGGGAGAGGGAGAGACGTGGATGAGAATCACGGATCGCTGCCTCCCGCAGCCCCGCGCCCGGGCCCGCGCCGACCTCCCGGTTCCCGGGGGACACTCA